AAAGCAGCAATGGAAAAGTTCCCCGAAACCAACCGGCTCTTTGCAGCTTAATTTAGAAAGAATGTTAAAACTAAGCTTGTATGTACCATGTTTAAATACAAAATAAGAATGCTCATTCAGGAAAACATTTCCATGTCTGGCAGAGAAAACGCACAGGGCGGGCCTTGGCTCTGACCCATACGCTCTTTGAAATCTGACTGTCTGGTCTCCAATCCTTTATCTGACAAGTGGAGGCCCTTCCTTAGTTATCATTTGACTGGTGGACAACACAGAGCTTCCTCCAGAGGCTTCTGTTCTTGCATTTTAGCGGGACTAACCTTTGAAATAAAATCTGTGATGTTTCTCGCCAGAATTAGCAAAAGACAAAATTTCTGTGAGAACTCGGCCAGCAGTAGTGCTCTCCCACAAGCCTTACTCTCAAAACGAGAGAGGAACACAGGGAAGTTAGTGAGAGGACCTGCAAGTCCAAGGTGACAGGCCCTTCCTTGAAAATATGTGGTGTATCTGATTTGGGGGTGGAGGTCATGCATTTCAGTAAGATAATAAGTAGTTTTTAAAATGTGAATGAGTGATTCCGAGACGGAACAGGCTCATTTGCCGCCTCTGCCTCTCCTGACTCACTAGTTGCAAATGGAGCAGAGGTAACTTTGATCACAATAGGAAATTCTCTTGGCCTCACTAACCTGGTTTGATCATTTTTGTTTTCAATGAGAAGTCATGGTTCAAACATAAAGAATTGAATTTGCAGAGCTAATTGAGACAGTAATACTTAAAGGTTATTCTCTACTGAGTGGACTAGTGGCAGCTTGGAAGTTCAAACCAAAAGGAATCTTAGCAAAGATTCTTTTTGGAGGCTTTGGGAGTGAGAGTGAGTGGTGGAGGAGGACAGAAAAGAGAGGAGAGTGGGAGGCATCCCTTCAGGATGCGTGCTCTGTGTGCCATGACTATGCAGGACCAGTGCTCCTTCCTCTGCCACTCATGTACACATTCTCTGCCCTGTCACTGTCACTGTGTCTCAGCAGTAAACCCTCTGCTAAGTCTTGAAATGGCAGGCACCCCTAAGCATGCTGCAAGCAGCTGGGATCAGATCCATGCTGGCTGCAGGTGGGAGTTAGCTGCCCTTTCCCCCTCCTCTCTGCCCACCTAAAGTCATCCTGGGGTTGCATTTGTTAGTCAGCATCTACATAACTCCAGGCAGCTCAGCTGTGCTTAGACGGAAGAGAAGACAACATTCTTCCCTACCCACTGGTCGGGGGCGCTCAGGAAACCACAGCCTGGCTCGGTGGCTCTATTTCCTTCTGGAGTCTCCGACCTGTGCCCGCTGCCTTGGCTGCTCGTTAGCCGCCTGACAGTGTCTTCATTAACGCCCCTACTCTGGAGCTGTCCATGGGCATGCAGCCCCAGAGTTACTGAACTCCCCCCCACCTGCCCTTTCTCTCCAAGTCACTGTCCATCCCTGGGGGTCAGAGAGGAGCCTGGAGGCTGAGCCGAGGCTGACTAAACTCATTCCATTGGGTTACTCGTATTCTGAATTTCAGAAACTTTCCTGAGAGTTACAGCGAATATTGATGGAGCATAATTGTGTACCAGGCCTTCATCCCATTTAGTCCTCATAGCAGCCCCATGAGATAGTATACTAGTACCTCCATTTTACAGACTGAGGCCTGGAGAGGGCAAATCACTTGCCCAGTAGAAAAGGTGGCAGAACTGGGATTTGGACCCAAGTAATCCGAAGTCTGAGCTTTCTTGAACTTGGCTTTGAGCCCAGCCCCAGGGCCTGTACCCTGCTGAGGCCCCAGGGTAAAGCCCCTGTGTCCCCTGCCCTGTGCCATCTCTCTTCAGGCCATGGGTGCTGGAATTACTGCATTTCTGAGGACTCAGTCTACCAGGGGTGAGAGGCCACGGGTGGGGATAATGGGGGGCTTCCCCAAGGCCCCACTTCAGATGGAGCTGCCCAGATCCTCCTCAGGCCCAACCCCTCAGAAAGAGAAGATGGCAAGTTCACTGCCTCTGCAATTGCCCAGTGTTCACGACTGCGTATGCTAAAGCTTTTCCTTAAGATAGAAAGCATATCAGACCCAGCAGGGCTTAATCCAGCCTTCTCTAAGGCAGGTTTGAGTCCCCCTTCTCTACCCTCTCCATATTTGTCAAAACAACATCATGTGCCTCCTTGGTCTATTTCCCCACAGCTGCCCTCTTCCCCCTGTGCTGCACAGCCTGCCTCAAGGATCAGATTCCAGGCTTTTTTTGTTCTTATTCCAACTGGCCTCTGTCCACATCCCTCCTCCCCATGAAACCGCACTCCCAGTTCTGCAGATCTGAGTGGGGCTCAAATGCACGTGCACTGAGGGCACTCTGGCCAGAGGCTGCCTCTTGCTATCCCCACTCTTCCACAGTTCAACTCCCATCTCCTCGACAGATTTCTTTTGCCTTTGAGTAAATGTAAGATCTGTACTGCAGTCGTGAATAGTCCAACTGAAGTAAGTTCTAACCCTGATTTTTGCAACACACCAAGGTATCTCCAATAATCTTCGGGGATAAGGGACATTAGATTATGCAAACAAAATTCATTTTGCCTCAGTGTGATTAAACGTCAAGATATATCACCCAGCCTGGAGGAAGGGCGGGAAATTCAGTGATGCGATTTGGGGTCATTAAAACCTGAGAAACTAGCACTGAGTGCTGCAACTCCAAAAAGAGCTGAAAATCCTCCCTTCATGATTTCAGGTCCACATCCCTTACCTGTAACTTCAAGTCCAAGAAGCTGTAAAGGCCAATTGGATTTTTGTAAATTTGGTGCCAAATTTTATGTGGGGGCAAACGTTAACTCTGGACTTGCTTAAATATTCACATTTCTCTGCAAAAGTAATGAAATGCTGCCTCAGATTCCACTGGAGGGTTGTGTGACATTTGGCATTTGTACCACATTACCTTCCTAAAGTCCCAAATGTTCTGATTTTGGAAACTCATCAGGCCCCAGAGGTTTCAGGTCCAAGCCCACAAGGCTGAGCTTGTAGTGTGTGCTGGGCGCCATTCTAAGCAGTTTCAAGTTAGCATCTCCTTTGCCTTGCCAATGCCCTGTGTGAAGGGGACTATTCCTTTCCCCATTTTCAGCTGAGGCCCAGGGCTTGAGTAACATTGCTCACGGGACCTGAATCAGTCAGCATCTGTAGCCAGACGTGAGCCTCAGATCTGCGGGCCTCCAGTGCCCTTGCTCAACCTCCCATGCTAAACAGCTGCCTCAAAGTAACGTGGCATTTGCCTTTTACCTTATGTGGACATGAATGGTCCATTGAACTTGAATAGTTCATTCCACTTGTAAAGCAAAATCCCCCAAGTAGCGAGATGCTGGTCTGTACATCAAAATGAGTTCTTATATAGAAGGCTGGTTTTGGCCTTTCCACTTACTCAAGAATTTATGTCTCATCTCACATTTAGGAATAACTCCTTTAGAAAACTCAGACTTAGGCCAGGCACGGTGGCTCATTACTGTTATCCCAGTGCTTTGGGAGGCTGAGTTGGAAGGATCACTTGAGCCCGGGAGTTTGAGACCAGACTGGGAAATATAGTGAGACCCTGTCTCTAAAGAAACAAACAGACAGAAACCAAAAAAGCCCTCATGCCCCTCACAAAACCCCAAAGATCCAGATTCAAATGAATGTCCAGTTCTTCCATTGTAACCATTATCCACAAGCTAGTAAATGCCATGTCATAAGTAATCACTGTTCCTGAGGCTCAGCTTGGCCATTAGTAAAACTTGGGAAGTTTGCTTAGCTTGCTGGAAGTGAGAAACATGTTTTTCCCCACCATTGGGGCCACCATCTGTCCTTCCACAGTGGTTCCAGCTCTTGCCTCAAACACTCGTTTTTTCTTTATCTTTTTTCTCTCCCCTGGAAGAGTGACCAGGCCTGAGTTCTTAGGTCTTAGGGTTAAAGAGGAGAGGCTATAAGAAGAAACAGGAGAACTGGAGACCCCCAGCTTGGAGGCCTGGAAGGATACCAGGTAGAGAACAGTGCTAGGGAGAGCAGTGGAGTGAGAGTGCCAGAGAGCTCAAGAAAGAGCCAAGTGAGATCCCCAGCCTGCAAGGCAGGGATGGCCCTTTCCCCTTTCCCATCAGGCTGGGAGTTGTTCAGGAGGGGCAGGGCTTAGAGCAGAAGGAACCCGCAAGGCTCAGAGGCCACACAACTCCTGTCAATCTCATGGTGGCTACGGGGTTTGGAGAAAGCGCAGCTCGTGTCTGTTCTTCCACAGCTACTGGATTTTAGAACCACATCTGAGTCCCATGAAACAGATCTGGGAGCACAGGGTCAGGAGGCAGAGTCCTAGTGAAGCAAACCCCTTATCAGCACGTGCTGTATGCCGGGCCCTGGACAAAGTGCTTTAGATGTATCAACACACTTAATTTCCAGACAACCTATCATCACCTTCATTTGTAGAGGAGGAAGCAACTAAGACGTGACAGTGGAAACAGAAGGCTCCAGAGGCAGTGCCCCATGCACGGGTGTGTGGGTGTGAGTTCTGGAGCAGATCGCCTGCTCTGGCCCCAACTTGCTGTGTGACTGTGGGCAACATTGGTTACTTCTCTGTGCCTTTCCCCCAGCTCTCAAGGGAATGGTAACAGCCCTACCTCTGAGGATTAAAATGAGAAAAGGCAGGTGAAGCACCAGGTCCCATGTCTGGCCCCTGGGCAGGGGCCAGCACGGGCTGGAAAGGCAGCTCTTGGTGGCAATAGCATCCCATTTGGGGAACCCAGCTTCTTGCCTCTGTTGGCAAAGGTCACTTGACCCCTTTATTGTGCTCCTATCCCCAGGGAGCTTGGCTGCTTGGTCTTTCTCCTGAAGGCTTTCTCCAACCCCACCTAGGTCATTGGTTGGGTATGATTTGCATGACCCCAATCATTAAGAATTCTCCCCCTGAGCCAGCTGACCCAGCTCTGGGACAACATAGTCAGTCTACAAAAATGTACCCAATTGAAGACAAAACAAAACAGAAAGGCTCACAATGATAGCTGGTGACACGTCTCCAGGCTGAGGATCTTGCCTGCTAGTGAAAGAGTTCCCGTGTTGATGCTGGGGCTTCACCGAGCTAGCTGCAGAAGTCCATGCAAACAGATGGCAACAGCCCTATAATAAAATCAAACCAAAGTACTCCTGAACTGCAGACCAGGGCCCAAGCCCCAGGCGGCCTGCTGTGTCCTGCCTGCTTTGCCTGTCTCCACACCGCTCCCCCGGCCACCCCCATGGGAACTCTGCTTGCTGTGTGGTCTATCAAATGACCAGCTTCCTGGTGTTAAGCACTCTGCATGGTTATGCTCCAGGAAACCTGGATGGAAAAGATGCAACCTCTGTACTCTAGAGACTGCCACCGTCATACTCACAGAGAGCTCTTGAGTAAGAGGTCAGCCCCTGACAGGTGCTTCCCTTGGCCAAGCACTTTATGATACCTCCTCCTTGACCACTCTCCAGAAGAGGGAGAAAAGGGAGAAGCTTCCTGGAGGGGATGGTGCCTGAGATTAGGAGCTGCAGGTGTTGGACAGGAGAGAAAATGCAGGAAGGGATGGCCAGGCCCAGGGAATGGCTAGAGTAAAGGCTGAGACCACATAGCGTGGGCCAAGTGCTGCAGGTGCTTCTGGGTTATAGAAGTGCAAGGAAGGGCCTGACAGATGCTAAAGGGCCCAGGAGGCTGGTGGGGCCAGCTTACAGGCCTCTGGGGACTTCTCAGCAAGTGTAACACATGATCAGGCCACTGTTTTAGCAAGATGACTCATAGAGCAATGGATGGCTTATTGGGAGACACCAGTTAAGGGTCAACTGTATGCATTCAGACAAAGAATCAAGAGGACCTGGACTTGGGCAAGGATGAGAGGAATGGGAAGGAGGGATGGTAGATGGTGACTGAGTATTCTGTGTAGCCAGACGTGTGACCTGGCCCCATGGAGCCTCCTTGTATTTACACCCTCATGCAGTCTCCTCTGGCTTACATATAATTAACAGAATACAGCAAAAGTAGTGGGATGCTACTTTGCAGACTAGGTCATAGAGACTGTGACTTCTGACTTACTGGCACTATCCCTCCTGCCTCTCCCCACATTAACCAGCTTCACTGGCACACTCTCATGAGAGTGAAGCCAGCTGTCATGTTGTGAGATGCTCTGTGAAGAGGCCGTGCGGCAAGGAACCAAGGGAGGCCTCTGGCCAATAGCTCGTGAGAAACTGAGGCCTCAGTCCGACAACCTGCAAGGAACCGCTTCCTGCCAGCAACCACATTGAGTGGGCTTGGAAGCAGATCCTTCCCTACTGAGCCTTGAGATGACTGCAGCCTTAGGAGATACTCAGCCAGAAGACTCAGTGAAACCATGCCAGGATTCCTGACACCCCGAAATCAGGATGTGGGGTAACATATGCATATAGTTCAAGTTGGTGCTTGGGGTGATTTGTTATGCAGCCACAGATAACTAATACAGGCAGGGGTCGCAGCAATGGAAACTGGCAACTGCAATAGACACACTCAGGTGGAATCAGCTGCATTTCGTGATTGAAAGGCCTGGAGGAGATGAGGGAGGGCAAGAAGTCAAAAGTAATTTCAAGAAGAGCACAGGTTCTGGAGTGAGAACACCTGGCTTCAAGTTCCTGCGCTGTCCCTTGCGAACTATGTGGCTCTATGCAAGTCTTTCAACTCTCTGAGCTTCAGTTTCTTCATTTGTAAAATGGAGACGATTAGAGTCACTAGCTAAGAAGTTCCTTTCACGGCCTGCCTGAGTATCCAGTATGGTGACGAACGGCACGCTGAGGTTGCTCAGCAAAAGTTTGCTATAGCATTTCCAGAAGGCTCAGTGTTTATCCTTCTGCCAGCAGGGACAAGATTTAAATGCTTCAGTGCAATTTCCTTACACATCTTAGGGCTTCACTGGTCCTGCTATGCAGCCCAGTGCAGGGAAGGCATTTCTGTACTCAGCCTTGGCATCCCTAGCTCCCTCCCCCGGGAGCACCTTGTGGGTGCAGCTTTCCTTCCAGGGAAGTTGGGTGACCTGAACAGGCACTGAAACCATCACCTTGGCCTCGTTAACACTGTGCTTTTAACCACACAGGATTAGCTGACTTCGGCAGAATTTTTCAGAGTCATTTCCAGTCTCAGAGAGAACTATAGCCTGGATTTGCCCTCCAGAGCCAGATACTGGCAGCATGGAACACAGCCGTTATTTCCAAAACAAAAGAACACAGCCAGATATGAGATTGTCTTACCTGTCTAGGCAGAGCAGGCATGGGATCCGAGGCCACTGATCGCTGAAAACGCTGGGGTTGCTGCATCATCTGCTGCAGAAGGAATGAAGAATGGTCAGGCTGCCGCTGCTGCAGCTGCAAGGTGGCGGTGGCCGTAGAGGAGGCAGTGGCTGAAGATGCCTGCGTTGGCGTCGGCTGCTGCAGGTAGTGGAGCAGGGAAGGCTGCCTAGAGGTGGAAGGCATGGAGGGCATCTTCTGGGGAGCCAGCTCAGAAATAAAATGGGACAAGGGCTTGGTGTTGCCAAAGGTAAATGGCTCTGTGGCTCCTGGGCTGGAGCTTGCCATCCCCTGCTGCATGATCATGCTCAGGGTTTTGGATGAGCTGCTGGTCATGGGCTTAAAGATCGCATTTGCTTGCTGCTGCTGCTGCTGCTGCTGCTGCTGCTGCTGCTGCTGCTGCTGCTGCTGCTGGCTTAGAAGATTACTGGTGGGAGTGAGGCTTCGGATCAGGGAGCACTGTGGGGTGAAGGACTGCTGTGGCAAGCCTGGGCTGGAGAGCTTCTCCGGGCGATAAGGTGGGGACGGCCCAGGGTTGCTGGTGGGCAGAGCGGACATCAGGTGTCCTTGGGGGGTTTTGATGGTAGAGGACACCAGGTTGGCAAGAAGGGAGCTCTGTGGGCCAAACTGTGGCTGTTGAGTGAGAGCAGGGCTGGGGAGCTTCTCAGGAGCATAGGGCATGGCTGGCCCCAAGGCGGCATTGCTGCTGGACGTCATGCTTGACAGTAAGGCATTGGGAGAGCCTTGAAGAGTGCTGCCCGACAAAGTGTTGGATGACATGCAGGACACCATGAGGCTCTGGGGGCTGAATGGGGGTGGGGGTGCTGGCAGCCGTGGTGGTGGTGGGTGTGGTGATGGCACCGGGCGGTAAGGTGGAGACAGTCCTGGAGGAGGCAGACCAGACCAACTGGGGGTGGGCCCTTGCTGCTTTGTAGCAGACCCCTGCTTGCTGGCTGCCAATGCCTTCAGCTGGTGGGCGTGATGCCACTGAGGCACTGGTAATGGGGGCAGAGTGACAGGGAGCATGGCCTGGACCTGGCTCTTGGACTGTGCCATTGAAGAACTCTGTGACACCATCTGCTTACTGGTGGAAGGAATGGAATAGCTGATCCCCGTGCAGGAGGGTGGGATCTGAAGTGACACACCAGTAACTTGGCTGCAGCTAGAAGCAAAGTCCTTGCTGGAAGCCAGGCTCTCCAAGTGCGACATCTGAACCGAAGGCTTGGGAGTTGTGTTCAGGGTTGCCTGGGGATGATCTAAAACCAGTGGCTCTTCTGGCTTGGTCCCCAGTATCTTCTCAAGATCTAGCTCATTCAGAGAAGGGTCTTGAATTTTGGTGAGCTCATCTAGCAGCTCCTGAAGCTCCTGGTCTACAGCTGGCACATTGCTGGTTTTCTCATAGTAAGGAACAGTTGGCCCTTTCAATCCCACTTCTGTAGTTGGTGGTACCACAAATGGTGAGCCCATGATGCTGCCGTTCATAGGGTTACTCTCGAGCAGTAACGACTGGCCCCCCACTCCCACAGCCGCAGGGCTAGGGTTCATTGTCAATGGAGGGACCTGCAGCTCTGCACAGGCAGTATCAGGGTGGGTTCCCGGGCCCATAGCAAGGGTGACATCTTCAAGGCAAGGCCTCTTAATTTTATTAGGGTAGCCCCCATCAGCCATGTCTGGAAACTGGAAGTGGTCTTCTTCTTGTCTCCTCTTAACAGTTCCCTGTGATTGAAAGAGAAGAGAAGACAGAGGAGAGGAGAGGGGAGGAGAGGAGAAGAGAGGGGAAGGGAGGGGAGGGGAGGGGAGGAGAGGGGAGGAGAGGAGAAAGAAGAGCAGAGAAGGGAAGAGAAGGGAAGAGAGGTGAGGGGAGGAGAGGGGAGGAGAGGAGAAAGAAGAGCAGAGAAGGGAAGAGAGGTGAGAAACAACACACACACACACACACACACACACACACACACGAGTGAGAGAGAGAGAGAGAGAGAGAGAGAGAGAGAGATTTTTTATAAAGGCTTGGTACATTAAAGCTAATGAACAGGAAATCAGCATGATAAAACAGATCTCTCAGTTTAAAGACTTACAGTTGTGAAAACTACAAAATACAGCCTGTTTTTTGGAACCATAGTGCTTATTTCTTCATTACTATGCTTCATTTAAACTGTCTTATTACATTTGTGTACTAAAATGGAATAGAATGGTATGCAAAGGGTGATCTGCCCACTTCAAGGACAGTTCAACAAAAGTATGCAGAAATCACTAAGTGAACCATGCTGCCAAAGGCAGGCATTGGAGAGAAAACTAGAAATAGCTAAATACTTTTAATTCTTACCTGTCTACAGACTCATAGATTTTAACAAAGGAATACCATGGTATACACTTGAACTTTTAGGCTGCCTTCTTGTCTTGGTTAAACACATCAGGCTGCAGTGATAAACAGAATACAACAGAGCCCTTACAGGAAAGAAGTGGATCTGGATGCGTTTTCTTGGGAAGCTGTTTAAAATATTGTTTGGGGGAAAGCATACATTTCATAACAGTCATTGTAGGCTGCGTATTCATTGTTCCATTTATTTTCACACATATACACACACACACACACACACACACACACACACACACACACACACTGCTATGTGTACCTAAAAATAATTTGGGAGAACCTATATCCATCAATTTGGAGTGGTCGTTTATTTGGGATGACTGGCAATTCCCTTTCTATTCTCTTCATTTCTGCTTGTTTGTCTTTAATGAGAAGGGCTTGTAATTTAAAAATTTAAAAAAGTATAAAATTATCTAAATAAGAAATTCCTGTCTGAAGATGCAACCTCGGGTTGAGGAGATATCAAACAATGGGAAAAGTCTCTAATCTGTGATCTGAACCTTGGGGGAGCTGCCCACCATTTACGGAAGCACAGTCTTTGGAAACAAAGTGAAGTCACTGGCAATGTGAGGCTTCCTGCTCTTCATGGCTTCAGACAGTCATCCATCGCTGTTATGTTAGTGACCATGATCTGCATGTTAGCAGGTAAATGGGAAAGGAAGTGGGGGCAAAGAAGTATGTGCAGGAATGATCAAAATAAGGCAAGGAAGAGAAGGATCTGGAAATCACCAGAATGCCGACAGGTGAACAGGTAGAATTCTTTCAAAGCATTTTTCTTTTTTTTTTTTTCACAAGAAACCCCTTTTCAGCTTTGGAAGTTTCACTGGGACATACAGTGCTCATCCTCTGATGTCACCTCACATTTGGCTCTTCTGATTTGATGAGCTTGTAGCCCACTAGGAGTTCAAGGGAGTCATGGGGCCACTTGCCAGCACAATGCGGGGCATGACTGTCACGGCCAAATGAACATCAAAGTAGATTCCCAGGGCTGTACGCTTCAGGCCTTGCTGCACATCAGAATCACTTAGAAACATCCACATTCCTGGGCCCTCCCACCACAAACGGACTGCTTCTATCTCACCCAGGGTGTGGTCCCGGCATCAGGAATTTTTCCAACAGCTCCACAGTTGATTCTCAACAGGAAGCCAGGCAGAAAACCACTGGCCCAGAGCAAGGGTACAGGCAGCATGGCATAGGGCTCTGATCTTGGCCTTGACACTGAACCTCTCAGAGCCCATTTCTTTATGTGTAAAACAAGTGTAATTGTAATTTATTTCTTGTGAAGCTGCTCTGACTATTAAGTGAAATGGGGCACATTGTATGACACCTAGTCGCTCCTCACTAACTGGTACCTGGCATTATAAAGGGCAGGTCTGGAAGTGTCCTAGGGGTCCAATCCCCTTAAAGACAGGGAGGTGTCTAAGACCCAGAGAGGGGCAGGCCTTGCCCAGAGTTGCTCAGCCAGAGGGCAAAAAGGCCCAGGTCAGATGCAGGGCCCTCCACCACTACTCAGCTGCCTCCAGACCCACTGCCTTTGCCATGCTGATAACAGGACGCTGCATCGCTCCTGCAGAAGGGGCTTATCAACTTGAGTGAGAACACTTGCACGCTTCTTTTATTTTTCTTTTGAGATGCCTACAACCTGAACAAGGGCACTTCAAGGGACAGCTCTGTCACCAAACTCATCTGAGGCCTGAATACCATGGGTCAGACAGTAATGGGTTGGAGAGGGGTATAGCAGGCACAATAAGAGGTCTGAGGCCCATGCAGTCATCGGTGCCCACTTTCCCAGGAGACTGAGTGGGCACAGCACCCATAGTGCCCCTGAGCGGGCCCATGGAGCAGCTTACTAACTGTTTGGCCCACAGCAGGTGCTCAGTAAATGGCAGCTGAATGAATCAATGGGCAAAGGAACTTTACGTTCCTTTGGCTCAACACACAGGAAGGTCAGCCATTTACTCAATCCATTGCGGAGCAACCTACAAACAAGCCATGGGTCCCAAACTGAAATTGTGTCTCTTCTACATTCTCCTAAAGAATTCAAAAAGATCCAATAGGTTAAAAATAGAAATGTATGAAATAGACCAATCAGGGATGACTGTGTGTGGGTTTGACATAAGGATCCCCTGCAGAGCGTCTGAACTGGCACCAGTCAGGCCCAATGTGCTGTTCATGATGTCCTGAACTGCAAGACACTTGTAACAATGGCAACACAATGCAGAACCAGGCAGGCCAAGGATGAGTGGGCGATGGGGAAAGGAGGGGAGGTCAGGGGCTGTGAGGGGCAATGGCTTGGCATCCCTGCCAGGTGAGCCTCCGTAATTTGCTGGCAGCTTCTGTGGGCTCCCAGAGCTTTCGCTTAATTGTTCTTCTGCCATTAACCTGTTGGAAGTAAGGTGAAGGGATGGAGGAGGCAGGGCATGACCACCAGACACTAAAGGTACCAGCAGGGGCCACTGGCAAAGGAAAGGAGGCTTCACCTCCCCTACATGAGAGCCTGTGTACACACACCTTTTCCGGCACCCATCAACTGCATCCCAAGCAAATAGTCCCTGATCAATTCCAATTCTAGTAAGCAGATCCCAAGAGGCCCCCATTGCTGGAGCGGATGCCACCTTTGCTATGCCAAGCCTGTGGCTGGACACTCATTGAATGTTTCAGGAGGATGCCCCCTAATAAAGGGGGCAGGCTTGCCTGGCTGTTCTCAGGGGTAGGATTGCGGGTGCTGACTGAGGCTGCTGTTTTGGCAGAGTGGCAGGCCGCAACCCTCTTCTGAGCTTTCATTTTTCAATAGACTTCAATGAGACTCTACTTTGTCAGAGGCCATGCAGCTCCATGTTTTGGATTTCATGGAACGAGCTTTCAACAGTGAGCCTGAAGTGCCCTGGCTGAGCAGCAAGAACACCAGCCAACCCTAAACAAGGCCGAGGAGAGGTGGCTGTGTTTATGCGGAAGTCTCAATCTAGTTGTAATAGCATCTGCTTTCACCAGACATCAGTGAGGCGTGGAAATCTATTATCCAGTTAATTTTGCTCCCTAGATAAACGCTTGCTTTCGTGTCTCCTCTTTTGCAGTTACTGCGAGAAGTTGGCTGGGCTTTCCCCTGTGCCCAGTGCCACACTCATGCCTTCACTGGGTCACCTTTGCCTGTGGCTGATGCCGCTGAGGTTTTGCCAGCCACCATTTTAGATCAAGGGCAGGAGATAGCTCACTGCTCCGAAATGACCTCCCCTCCCAGCATCCTGGGGCAGGGGTGGCAGGCCCCCAACCTAGCTCCCAGCCCTTTCCAAATGAATCTTCCTGCTTCACCCGTGTGCTTTTTTCCAGTCTTTGTGGTATTAGTACTAGCTGTCTCACAGCTGCTACTTCCTTCGGCCCTCTCACTGTGACAATCAGCAGACACTGGCAGAATTTCTAAAGAGCACATCTTACACAAAACAGAATGGGATATAATTTGGTGTTAGACAATTAGCTAAGGGGTAAGGACATTGGACTCCAGATGTCCCAACTCCCAGAGGCCCTGCCTTTGGTGGCGAGGAAGCAGGAAGGAGTGAGTGACAGTGCCCTGGCATCTTTTAGAAATGAATTCCTTTCTCTCCGTACATAAATGCCTGCAGAGTCCCATTTCAGAATACAGCAGACAAAGCCACCAATGTGATCCCCGTGACCTTATAAGCATTCATTAAAATGCATTTCAGGGCATGTGATGGCCTCCCCACCCCCTAAATAATGAGAAACAAAGGTTTCCCTTCTGATAGACACAAGTCCAGCTCTGAAGTCAACATTATTTCTGGTTCTGTCTGAACAATGACATATGGCAACTCTTCCTTTTCCGTATTTCTAGTCCAGAATGACAAAAAAGGGGAAAAATTTCTTAGAGAAGGTAGAGATCATAAGAATACAGTCCATGTTCATAAAATGAGCATAAGGAGAATAAAGAATATAACTTGAGACTCTTTGCAAGGAAGTCTGGCAGGCTGTTATAAATGCTTAATTTTAGACACTGTAGCTGTAGGTTTAACATGGACACCAATAAAAAGGCCAGCAAAGGGTATGCACTGTTCCTATTGGGCAAGAGGATAGGAGGTTAAAGGTAGCCAGGAAAGATAAACTCAGGGGCACTCATTTTCCTTCCAAGAGACCACTGGGCATGCAGGTCCTGGACAAAATTGGCACAAAGTTAAAAACCCCCTGTGGCTTTTTTAGTCTGCTCTTTTTGCATCACCATTTTGCTAGCTGGCTCTCCCAGTCCCTTCTCTTACACTCATACTCCATGAACAACTTAATTCAATATTGTTCCATTTTCCCCGATGAATTTTGAAGCACCTGATGTTGGCCAACTAAATTAAACTTCAAGCCCTCTGAGGACAAGGAGGATCTCAGAAGAAAGTAATGAAGATGTCATGAGGCGTGATGGAGGTAGCGTAGAATAGATAAGAAAATATTGTATCAGGAATGGGTTTGAAGAGACAGACAGAGAGATGGGGGTGGGGAGAAAGAGAGTGAGAACGAGGGAGAGTGAGAGAATGAATGTGCCTGCATTTGCACATGGGATCAGAGGAATATCCATGTGTATAGTATCAATGCCTGTATTTGGGGATGTGTTATTTACATGTTTATTTTCAGCAGAATGTCCCAACAAACTGAAACTGACCTTTCTGTGAAACAAACAGGATTTTGAGCATTTCCAGAATTGTAAGACATGAGGCTCTGGAGAATACCAGGGTGGTTGGGAATAGCAGGAAGCCCTGAATGCTAATGCTGATTAGCTTCAAGAGGAGTCAGTTATGTTTCTGGAGCGAATCTCTGATAATGGGTGGTCTGGAGCAAGAATCTTGACCTACAAATCGGGGATTTATTGGTGCCCCTGATTCACCCTTAGCCAGCCCCTGATGCAGGCAGAGGCAGAATGGGGTGGAGAAAAGGGCCCAGGAATGTGCCTCAGAAGACCTTTCGTTAAGTCCTGGCTTCTCCATTTGTTGTGTGGCTGTGGGCAAACCGCTCCCCTCCCTGAGCCTCAATTTCTTCTTCTGTAAAGTGGGTACTTGGCCTACCACATGTGCCTCACAGCATCAGTGAAAGGTTCCATTGTACTCACCGAGGAGAGCACTTGGGGAGCAGTAATCACTACTGATGTAGTTCTCAAGGCTCTGTGTCTTTGCTTTGGGCCTCTCTTGCTCTCTGACAAAGAAGGATGCATTCACTAAGATTGGGGGATGGGGTGGAAGTAGGGAGAGGCAAGCCGCCTAGTCCTGACAGCACTGACCTGACAGCCAGCGATGCTGAGCCTGGAAACTCCTGCCTCATGCTCCTTGCCACCACCTGCCACTCTGGGTCCTGCCACAGTTGTCAGCCTTCAGCTACCTCACCTGAGGGCTGAGGCTTCAACAGGCTTCTATCAGAGCTATCTGAGTGGCAGCGTGGAGTGGCTGGAACAGCCCTGACAAAGGCAGAGATGAGCAGACCTGGGTGGGCAGTGTTCTAGGACTACTTCCTCCTTTTCTGTAGTGGAGACGTACCAGTTGGAAGAACTGACAGCTCTAAGGATGACCCTCAACATACAGATGTATATGAATGTAGTGAGCTCAGAATTGTATTGTACCATCTCCTGAGAGGAAACAGTGTATTCTGCCCTTGAACAAGCATTTGTTGAGAGCTGGCCTCCAACTCCTAGGCTGTCAGAACTGCTGGGCTCTTCCAGACGGGCTGCTCGACCCCACTCATGTTGAGCCTGATGAGGCCTGTAGCCTGTTTCCCAGGAAGAAACCCTCACCAAGTCTTCTCCACACACATTCCCATGCACTGTTATCAGTGGGATAAAGATGATTACTGTTGGAAGAGTAACCATTCTCTCACTCTCTTTCTCCCCACCCCCATCTCTCTGTCTCATTTTACAGAAGAAATTGAGGCTCAGGGAGGGGAGCGGTTTGCCCACAGACACACAACAAAGAGTAATCCATCCATCTGGATGGATTTGTCGGGTTGACCTATAGAGGAAGCAGGTGCTGCTGAGGGAGCTGTAATAGAAGCTGAAGGTCAAAGGGGAGGGCCCTGTCCCAATCCAGATGACCCCGTTTCTGCTGGACCCACATTCACAAACTTAATCTGCATTTTGCTTGAATTTGGCTAAGAAGTAAAAAATCACACAGGAAAAGGGAAAAGTGTAGGCAGAACCTAGGTTGGAGGCCTCCAGGGCCACTGGGCAGAGGTCATTTAAGCCCAACCTTTTCCCTTCTCCCTGGACTCTGCCTCTAAAGGACGTAGTGCTGTGACCTCTTAAAGGTCTCTTTCACACTTGGGGCCTCACTTTCCCCACTTGTAAAGTAAATGGGTCCCAGCTTTGGTAAGCTTATGCTTACCTGATGCTTTCTTCCTGGGCTGCTCTTGTAGAGAAAAGATAAATTTCCTTCTTCATCCATCCACGAGGGCTTCTTTCCCTGGGGGTGAGAGTAGGCTGAGGAGAGAGCCACTTGCACACACTCTTAAAGAAAGTATTACACCTGCACCAGCTCAGTGAGAGGCACAGACCAGACTCTTACTTGAATCAAATTATGAGCCTCCCTAAATATCTCCATGACACTTTAATAGGGAATTACTTGAACACAGACTGTGGGGCACAGGGTGGGGTGCGCCTCTGGCCTTCCTCTGGGAATGAATTCTTCATGAAAATGACCTAGTAATAAAAGTTTTCCCCTTTAAAAGATTGTTTTAATAAAGACTAAGTGGCTACAAAGAAACATTGCAGGGGACAAACAAGAAGGGTTGTACTGTTTCAGTGACTCACTTCTTCCAAGGGCCAGGCTGCCAGACCCACTCCTGTTCCTGAGTCGTTCCCTCTCCCAGCACCGTCCTGCTGTCCACAGGAGACTAGCAATGTGAATCCTGAGAGTAGCAGGGCTGCACTTGTTGGATCAAGAAGCTGTGCTTATTGACATATTGTATTAGAGAGTCCTACTGAGTCACCAGTCACCAGAAAGGCTGCCAACTCTCCAACCACCTCCAGGGAACTATCCTTAATGGGGCCTTAACAAGCCTAAGAGAGGGTTGGTTTGGGTCCCAAGACAATATTTGCTCTGCTATAAGTCAGTCACATGGGACCCAAACCAACCCTGTCTTAGGTGCCTCACCAGTCACTGCAGGTATCCCAATTTCAAGTTTGGTTTTCTATGGTCAAAGTCCAGCATACATTAAATGAAGGGGTGGTGATGATTGAGTTAAAAGAGAACTCCAAACCAGTTTAATTCTTGGACACACATCCCATCTCACCATGGTGCTTCCACCCTTCTAGAGATGATGGGCTCCTATTTTCCAATAACAAAGTCCCCCACAGGAGTGCTGCCTCGCCACCAGGGAGTGCTTTGTGACTGAGACTGGCATCCCACTTTCAGTCCTCCAGCTGTGGCCCACCCCTGCCCTAGGCTCTTAGGTATGGCTGCATTGTGAAATGATGGCCACAGAGCTGGCATTTCCTACAGTGTAGTTCATCTAGCGCACTACCTCATGGTTAGAAGAAATCTGTCTAAGCCACTGAGGGTGGCTCCTAGTGCCAACTTTAAGAATAGGAAGCTTCCCTTTCTTGGGAGAAGGGGTAGATGGTAAGGTGGATGGTCCAGGCCAATGGGAGCAGGGAAACCACGGTAAGTACTAGACCACAACACACAGACTCCATGTGTGGCCTCCATCGAGTCCCTCTTCAATTGCTTTGGCCTCCTCTGTCCCATAAAGAACTTCAGCGAGGGGCCTGGCTGAAGGCTATGAATTGTGTGGAGCTCCTCACTGCAGTCCCCAACCATCTGATGCTTGGAAAGTGTCACCAGGATGCAGCCATGCCATGTGGCCAATGAACAGAGAAAACACTCCTTTTCTAGAATGCTCTAAAAAGGCAGCATAATTCAGAGGTGAGGAAGGAAAGACACCACCAGGGACCCGGGCGGTTCCTACAAGAGCCAGACTTTCTTTCACCTAGGGAGTAACAAGACCAGTGGAAAACACTCTGGGCTGCCCTGGGCTATGCCTGACCCTGTCCTCAGCTTTCTACACCTCCACCTAGAGCCCATGTACAGAAGGAGCATCCAGGAAGGCTGCAACTGTAGACTCACCTCCAGGGCCACCCAGGGAGATGGGGGGCAGCCACACTGGTGGCTCCAGGCCCATTTGGTGGGTCATACCTTCACACCACAAGTCCCCAGATTTGGCTGATGAGGGCATATTGGCCGGGGGCACTTTTGCTGTTCCCGATTGCCACCAGGCTTCTGGCTATCTGGACCTGGCTACCTGTGTATACTCTCACAAGTGCCACCATCTTGGCTGAGCCTTCACATGGGAGGTCCCTGAGGCAGTAGCAGGCTTCTTGCTAATGCTGATGGAATGAGGAATGGGATAGGTGGGGAGGGCCCTGGGCTGGGCCCTGAAGAATCGAGTGGGTTTTTAGAGGAGTTACTGGTGCATTTCAGGGACAGGACACCTGGCACAGCTAAGCTGGGGCAATAGGGAGCCATTGCTAATCTGACAGCTAGAAACAATCAAGTTCTGGGTCATTATTAATTAGGGTAGTTTGAGCTGTGTGGAAATCATGTACTGTGTAGGGTACCACAGCTCTCCTTCCAGATAATCTCTAAGACGTCTGATTGGGACTGTGTGAATGAGTAGTAACATCTCTTCTTGCCGCCAGGCCCTGCCAGTCCTGCCTGCATGCCCTGGATGGCTCCCCTTATGATCTGACCCGTACCAGGCTTCCACAGTATGTTACTTCTGCACTAGCACTCCTTGGGACATGTCTCTCCACTGTCTCTCAGACCTTAAAGGACTATACAAACCCAAGGGGCTCTTCCCAAGAGAACTGATAGGACTTGAGGTAATTCCATTTTGGGAAGCAGTCACTCCATTTTCTGCCTCACTCTTTCAGTGCTTCACAGCGCAGGATGACCCAGGTGCCATCATGGTGAGGATCTTTGTTCAGGGGATTGTGACTTTCATCAGGGTGGCCCAGATAAACCCAGTGGTTTTGTGGTTGGGAGTGGGAGTGCCTTCCCAAGAGCAAGACATGGGGCTGAACACGGAAGCCCGTTTCTGGGCTCCATGACTGTTGGATTGGCCCCATCAGATGAGTGGCAACCTTGCCCATAGGCAGCCTGCTCAGGGCACACAATCCCTTGCCCAAAACTATTAGAATGACAAGGCACAAATGACTGTTGTGGTACTAAGCACTTTATATGCATTTACATAGTTACCTTTATAACTCTATGAGACAGATATTACCATTATCATCCCCATCTTAGAAATGAAGACCAGAAATGTCTGCAGTTCAGAGGTTTTTCAGGGAATCATCTCCAAATGGGTGGGGGCTGGAACTTGAGTGTGAGTGGTTAGAGAACAGAAGCAAAGAATAGAGTCTTGCCTTCCTTCCTTCCTTCCTTCCTTCCTTCCTTCCTTCCTTCCTTCCTTCCTTCCTGCCTTCCTTCCTTCCTGCCTTCCTTCCTTCCTTCCTGCCTTCCTTCCTTCCTTCCTTCCTTCATTCCTGCCTTCCTTCCTGCCTTCCTGCCTTCCTTCCTGCTTTCCTGCCTTCCTTCTTTTCTTCCTTCCTTCCTCCTTCCCTCCCTCCCTTCTTCCCATCTTTCTCCTGTCTTCTCTTTCTCCTTCTCCTTTTGTTTGAGTAAGGGACACCTGATTTATAAGTAGACCTCAAGAATGAGTTTGGAATACTTACTAAGTGACAGGCACAGTGCTAAATGCATTTTAGGCTTTACTTTAATGCTCCCAGTGACTCAAGGAAGTCAGTACTAATATGATCACCCCCAACCTCATTGTACAGACCAGGGTGCCCAATTGAAGAGAGGGAGCGTCACTTGCTTAAGGGCATGTGGGTGGCTAAAAAGTGATGAAACCAGGGAGTGAACTTGGCTTTGTCAGTCTCCAGAGTCCTGCCCTCAAGCAGAAACCGGACTTGGAGGAAATGGGCGAAGGTGGCATTCAGATGATAAGGAAATGGTTGAAGGAGAGCTAGAGCTAAAGAAAGAGAGAGACTACACCAACTTCCTCTACAAGCAGAGGAAATAATAAGAGCAGCCAGCTGCAAGCCCTGTTAACTACATCAGTTCCTTTCATCTTCAACATAACCTTATGAGGGTAGAAATTGGGGTGCTGAGATGAAAAGGCCTTTGGTCCAGGGCCTCCTGGGGAACACACAGTGACTGACTGTCTGGAAGGGGCAGTCAGGAGATACCCTTGCTGGACCCATGCAGCCTCCACCCCCTTTCCTGGCATGATAAAAAAAAACTGACCCCATTTGGATTGCAGTGGCAAGGTCAGGAACCAAGTGACAGTCCTCCCCATTGCCAAGACACCAACTAGAGTAGTTTAAATGGGGCAAAAAAAAGTTGCTATGAGACTATTTAAGATCTGCACCCACAGTAAATTTCAAATATACAATACAGTACTATTAAATATAGCACAGTGCTGTACATTAGCTTGCCCAAATTTATGCATCCTATAACTGAGAATTTGTGCCTTTTAACCAGCATCTCCCCATTTCACAGCCCACACACTGCAACTCTCAGCAACCAGCCTTCTACTGTTTCTATGATTTAAAAAATGTTCTATGAGTTCAGAAACAAATGTAACTGGGAAGTTACGGATGGATGCATTGACTAACTTGCTTGTGGCAATCATTTCACTATATACATATATCAAGTCACCACATTGTACACTTTAAATATTATACATTTTTAATTTGTCAATTATACCTCAATCAAGCTCGAAACAATAAAGAAAAAGAAAAGAAAAACAGTTGCTAGTTAATCAGAGCCTTCTTTTCCGTACTGAGGTCTGTGGGTCTCTAGTTTTGGGACTAAAGCTTATATAATCTGGGGCCCTCTTTATGAAACACAATATAAAGTTAAAACAAAATTAGGTACCAGGCCTCAGAAGGTTTGAGGGATGAGCTTTAAAGTTTAGGCCTGAGGTGACCTTACCCCTCTCTGTGCTCCAACAGTAGGGTAAAGAAAATGGCAACAAGCTTTAGGTCATGCAGAAAATTGCTCTCCTTGAGAAATACAACTGCTCTGTAGATGAGAGAAGATTCCAGAGACACCCAATCAGTTCAGTACATTCTAGAGGGGCATCCTGTCTATGACCCCTTCCTGCTAGGACACACCAGAGATGCTGCTATCATTGGCCACATTTAAAACAATTTCTGTCCAGAACATGCCTCTGTAGCTGGGCAGAAGGGTCACATGCTTACTGAATAAGCACATTTTAGCTCCTGAGTGCCAACTTTTAGCCAGCAGAGATATCGATCCCACTTCGTAGATTTAGAGTCAGGCTGGTGAGCTCTGATGCCGTAGCAGCTGGGACTTGGAGGGACCATGGGATGAGGACTCAGTCCAAAAACTCTTCTCATGGCCTAGGTTCTCTCTTTTTAAATTGAGGTAAAATTGAC